TATAATCATTCAACAGCTCAAACATCTACTAAGTGTTCCACTATAGTTCCATTTGTACTCTTTTAAATCCTGAATCAAACTCTCTCACAATTCAGATTGGCCACAGTATATTGGTCTTATTATATACCTGTGATCTTACATTAACACGAGTGAGCCTGAAAGTGTGTTGGACAAGGTAATATTTAAGGTCATACAGAAAGAAAAGTGGAATGATAGCAAGGGCAGCCTGTTGTGATTTGGCTGATAAGCTCACTAGACTCTTCTCTTTCTATATCCCACTACAACATACAGTGGTGCCTTGACTTACATACTTAATCTGTTCCAGAAGATGGGCATAGCTCTAAATGGCCGTAAGTCGAAGCACCATTTTCCACTGAAATGCACTGAAATGCAATTAGTCCATTCTGGCCAAAGGAAAAAAAATCACCAAAAAAAAATTACTATGAGATCCATCATTGATTAATCCCTTCCGGCCGAAGGAGGGGAAGCAAGCAAAGCATGCAATACACATCAAAAATGGGGGAAAAGCAAAGCAAAAGGAAGCGAAGCATGCACGACACATCGGAAATGGGGAAAAAGCAAAGCACCAAAAAAATAAACAAACTCCCCAAGACCCATCGGAAATGGGGGGAGGACTCCAAAAAGCAAGTAAACCCCCCAAGACCCATCGGAAATGAGGGAAAAACCCAAAAAACAAACCCCCCAAGACCCATCACAGCATAGAAACATAATCCCCCAGCCCAAAACCCACCCAGAACATTTTTTAAAAGCAGAAAGCAGCACCTTACCTTACCAGGCAGTCTGAAGCCTCATCCAATTGCACACTCTCTAACTGTTGGAGTGAAAGAGCTACAAAGAAGCAGCCTCTTCGCCTACCAGAAGTTAGCAATTTGAATTTCCCACCTTTTTCCCTGCTTTTTTCTGTTCGTAACTGGAAGCTCCAGCTGGTAGAAGCAAAATTTTGTGGCTGGAGCTGGTTGTAACTCGAAATGGTCATAAGTCAGGAAATTCATAAGTCAAGGCACCACTGTAATCTCTTTCTATTTTACATGTGGAACTGGTCGTAACTCAAAATGGTCATAAATCAGGAAGTTCGTAAGTCAAGGCACCACAGTAATCTCTTTCTATTTTACATGCTTTAGCAAGCATTTACTTCAGTGTTTTCACATATATTTAGCAGCTTTGTCCATATAAAGACTGTCATGAAGCAGTTACAATATATGATTTGGTTACAAGAAGACATGGCCAGTATAGTTTCTACAGTTAAAAATAACATATTTAATTCAAAACAGCATACAGTCTATTTAATTTTGATTCTATAAATTCTACATTTTAAAAAAACTGGTTTAACACCAAATTTTCTCTACTATTGTAAGTTGCTGTTACATGTTTATGTGCTTTCAAGTAATCTCCAATGTATGCAAATCCTATTAATTAAAAAACTCCAAGAGGTCTTATCATAAACAGCTCCACTCAAGTGTTGCAACTAAAGACCCCTTTATTATGTTGGCCCATCTAATTTTAGATTTTCTTCACTTTCTACTTCCTACAAGTTTTCCTAGCATTCACTATCTTTTTAGTACGTTTTGTCTTACAATATGTCCAAAATAAGATAGCTTCAGTTTAATCGTTTCTCTTTCTATCAAGAGTTCAGGCATGATTTGATCAAAAATCTATTTAACTGTTCTAACAGTCCATGGTATCCATAAAGTTCTCCTCCAACACAACCACACTGCTTCTATATATACATGCTTACACAAGAAAAGATAAAAGGTTTATCCACAGTGTAATCCTACATATATGTTTTCAGAACTAAGTCCAATTAAGCTCAATAGGTCTTATGAAGCATATAAAGGATTACAACTTCAATTTGACTTCCTTTTGGTACAGATATAATTGTTCCAATAATATCTCTCTATCTCTGATTAACCTTTGGGATTATTAAGTAATCTTTTAAATCTTATGACAACTTAAGTCAAGAAGTTCAATTATCATATCAAACAGAATGTTGTATTTTCCTAATGCAACTTCAAAGGCTAAACTTTCAATACAACAATATGCAGAGTTGCCCAATATGGAAAACTTAAATAATGTTTGGCTATATTGTAGCAACATGTATAATAAAACTGGGTAACCATCACTATGCACACAATGGCTGAAATCCTATTGTGTAGTTACACAAAAGGCATTGACTTTTAATGGTGAATTGCTGTAAGTTAAGAAATATCTGTAAGCATTATCTGTTGTATGACAAGTCATACATGAAACAGACAATGCCTAAAGAGACTTCTTAATTTATGACAATTTGCTGTTAAAAGCTATGCCTTTCTCATAGATATGAGATAGGGGCTACAAGAGGGCCTACAGAGAACAGAACCTGGCTAGAATTCCAACAGATTGGTTTACACTTAAGAAGAAGTATAAGGCTCCGGTTAAAAGTAAAAAGCTTCAAACGCAGAGGGAAATCTGGCAATGTTTGATAACTGCTTCCAATCTGAAGGACTCAGCCTCGTTCTGGGAGACAGTAACAAATGGAACACTAACTTATACTCCCAAACAAGATTCCTCTATATTGCCTAGTATATGGGAGGAACATTTTTGAAGTATTTACACAGACCACTCAGCTAGTACTTTAACTTCTCAGAATGATCTTGATTATATGCCTCAATGGCCCCCAGTCGCTCCAAGCAACTTAAATCAGGCAAGGCTCCCGGAACTGATTATATACCACCTGACTTTATAATGTCCAATTCTGACTGGTGGGCTCCCGTACTAACCGCTTTATTCACCTGGATTGATAAAACGGCATGTTTGCCTGAGGACTGGGGCCTAGCCATTGTAGTCCCAAGTTACAAAAGAGGAAATAGAGGGGATCCTGCTAACTATCGACCAATAAGTCTATTAAACGCTATTAGTAAACTATATGCAAGGCATTTATTGGGCAAATTACAAGACTGGCTACTTGAGGAGAATATACTTGCAGAGGAACAAGCCGGATTTAGGCTGGGATAATCCACCATAGACCAGGGTCTTATCTTACACCACCTGGCATCTAAATACTCTGCCCCTAAAGGTGGTGCTCTATAGGCAGCCTTCATAGATTTTAAATCTGCTTTTGACCTCATACCAAGGGAATGCCTGTGGTCTAAATTTGAGTCCACAAGTATCGATAAACGGCTTCTCCTATTGACGTAAAGTATCGATAAACGGCTTCTCCTATTGACATAGCGACTTCATGAATATACACATTTGCAGGTTCTTTGTAACTCTGCAGGGATCTTATCCAACCAAGTCCCTGTACTTATGGAGTGAGACAAGGATGCATACTAGCCCCCACCTTGTTCAATTTCTATATCAATGGCTTAGTTGGAAATTTAAGTAACCTCAATTTTCATAAACCCAAACTTGCCTCTCACCCAATTTCAATCTTACTCTATGCTGATGATGCCATTTTACTGTCAACAACATGCGTAGGATTTAGAAGACTTCTGAGATCCATCTCCTCCTACTGTAATAAAGAACAACTAATAATTAACTATGCTAAAACCAAGATTACGGTTATGAGTAGGAGAATAAAGCATAAATGGTCTCTAAATTGACACCCTGTAGAGCAAGTAGCATGCTATAAATACCTTGGCATAGTTTTTCATTCTTCAAGATCCTAGCTTACTCATGTAAACCACACAGCAATGAGTGTCCAGAAAAATACTGGGGCACTAACAAGATTTTTCCATACTGATGGGGGTAAACATGTACCATCGGCAATACAGGTTTTTAAAGCCAGGATTATTTCACAAATGCTTTATGGCTGTCAACTATTCGCTTACGCTAATCTACAACTTCTGGAGATTGTTCAGACCAAATTTGCAAGAGCCATTCTTGGAGTTCCACCTTGTACTTCCAACTTGGCTCTTTGCTTAGAGGTTGGGTTAATATCCATTAAAGCACGGGCTAAAGTCATTATGGTGAAATACTGGCTTAAACTGATTTTTTCATTAGAAGGCTTGGCCCCACTGATCCTACTAGATTCCTTTCAGTCAGAGTGGAAGAAGCATATAACTGAAGAGATATCAAAAAATGGCCTTTCCCCCAGTATACTTATAGCAATGGGTCTCACAGATGCCATCAAAGCAATGAAGTTAAGGGTATGGGACAATGAACTATAGGACCATGATAGGGAAATATAACTTTATTACGAAATCTGCTTTTATCACCTCCTCATATTTAGCCAGCGCTATGTCATCTAAAGCCATAAGAGCTTTTACACTAGCTAGGCTCAATGTATTTCCTTCTAAGCTTCTGGAGGGAAGATTTCGAGGATTGCCTATATCAGATTGTCTCTGCCCTTGTAATAGTGACAAAGTTGAATCAGTTGGTCATGTTCTCCTTTTCTATACTTGCTATCGGGATCTTCGTATGGAGCTTTTATCACCTATTATCTGTAAATCTCCCAGGAGATCAGAGGAGGATTATGTCCAGTTGGTACTCTCTGACAATACCCCTTATATTATGAGACAAGTGGCCAAATTCTGTGCTGCAGCAATGGTTATTCATAATAAAATGTTTGGATAGGTGATTTTAGATGGATACTATCATGTTTTTAATATAACACTGGTAGAGGTTTTACTTATATTGAGGATATATGATGTTATTAACTGGAAAAATGGGTTGTTTTATCATATTTTAATGGAATTTTATTACCCTGACTGACTTTAAGAAACTATAATTATATGTATCTATTTTATATTGATTTGGTTTTATTCATTCGTTGTCTGTTGTATGACAAGTCATACATGCAACATGCAACAATGCCTACAGAGATTTCTTAATTAATGACAATTTGCTGTTAAAAGCTATGCCTTTCTCATAGATGTGCAACAGGATTTCAGCCACTAGATTATTCCAATGCCCAAACCAAATCTGGATAGAACTGTGAGGGGGAAAATATTAGTTACTCAATAAGTTGTCAATTTATCTCAATACTTTTTGGAAACCAATACCTTTTTGTGTTGTAGGCTGTATCCTGTGGGGTTTCCTCCAGAAGGGTCACATATCCCAGGGTACAGGTAAGGATGAATAGGACTGTCAAAGTGTGCGCTTCCCTGTTGCAAGAAAGAAACTGGTCAACACATTCAATTATTTTCAGTAGTATTTCAGATAATAAAAGTAACCACGTACTTACAAAGCAAGTTATTTATAATTAATTCCATTTCAAATTACAAAATCACGATTATATCACATTGCTGTGTGATTTTACTGATTCTTTAGTGAAACTGTGAATTTTCAGTTATGTTCACAGTTACAAGGTGTGGCTCACTTAAATAAGTGAAGTGGAACTATCACACGCTGGCTTCATGCTGTGCTTCACACTGCTATTTCGTGCTCTCTTCTGGGTACTGAATCTATAATATGGTAGAGTGAAAGAGAGTGTGCTTATTGCTATAAGCAAGCAGATGTTTTTAAAAAACAAAGACAAATATATCAACCACTTTTGAGAAAAAGGGAAGTATAGCATTACTGTTCAAAAATACTTGCTATAACCACAATTAACTACTTTTGCAGCATCAAACTATAACTATCTATTTTAGGTAAATGCTTAACCTCTGCTATTGACAAGTAGCTCAACACATATAGCAGACCAAAATTTAATTATTTATATGCCACCTTTCCAACCTCAAAGCTGTTTACATAAAAATGCATTAGGTATAAAATGTAAACTAAATAAACTACTATAATACATTCTACAGTCAAATATTCAGGAAAGCTACTCATCAGCCATCATTTGGGATTGTAGTTTAAGTGTCCTGTGGTTTAATATTGCAGAATTAGTTCCATTTCCTCTGCAAGAAGCCAAATTACATTCTTTCCCATTTTCTACAGGTCACTGAGTAATAGCTACTTCATATGACTTAAGAATGAAACAAAGGACCAGGAGAAACAATCTCAATGCCTGCTTTTCAGTTTTGGAACATTCTTTTCTCAAAAATCTGGAGAAGTCCCAAGAACCTGAATAGAGCATGTAGTTTTTATGTGCATAGACATTAAATGACATACTACTTTTGAAGTTTTTATCTTTTAAAAAATGCTCTATTTCAACCTTATATGCTAAAGCAAGGCATGACCTTCAGGAAAAGGACAAAGACTAAAGTAAATACACAAGAAAGAACCAATCTAGGAAAAGATCACAGCAGAATCAAAGATGGAAAAACAAGGGTTAACAATTCAGTTAAGGATTGCCAAGGAAAGAGAGGGGGAAACAGATAGTAAAACCAATTCTAATGAATAAGAACCAATGGAAATTTCATTCAGTCAATGTCAATGGATAAAACTCGCCATAAAAAAGAAAAAGGATCTTCCTACAATTACAAAAGTTAAAACTGGATGTGATTTGTCTACAAGAAACACATAAAAGGATAACAAACAATAATTTTATTTGCAAAGGCTTTCACGGCCGGGATCTAATGGTTGTTGTGGGTTACTACAACTGTGCTACTCGAAATTTCATTCAGTCAATGTCAATGGATAAAACTCGCCATAAAAAAGAAAAAGGATCTTCCTACAATTACAAAAGTTAAAACTGGATGTGATTTGTCTACAAGAAACACATAAAAGGATAACAAACAATAATTTTATTTGCAAAGGCTTTCATGGCCGGGATCTAATGGTTGTTGCGGGTTACTACAACTGTGCTACTCCTATCCTTGAAGATGCCAGCCACAGAGACTGGCGAAACATTAGGAAGAACAACCTTCAGAACATGGCCGAAGAGCCCGAAAAACCACAACAACCAAACAATAAGTTACTACAAAATTAAAAATTGGGAGAGATATTTACAGCATCAAACTTGGGAGGGGGGGGAGACGATTGGCTGTCCATGTAAGGAAAGAATTAAACCCTAAATTGGCCCATGCATCACAAGATAAAGGAATATTAATGGGGGAAACACAAAAAGAATAAAAAAATTGAACCTGAATATATATGCATCAAATGAAAGTCAAGAAATATTTTACAAAAAATTATAAAAAGAACTCTCTGTCAGAGACTATCAGGAATATTGCATGATGGCAGACTTCAATGAAGTCTTTGATAGAAACCTAGATACCTTTACAGACCAAGGAAAAAAGAGGAAAATAAGAAGAAATATTGATTCCAAAAACACTCTTACAATTGGCATAAGAATTACATATTGTAGATGCATGGAGAACAAAATATCTGAAACAAAGAGATTATACACATTTCTCAAACAGTCATAAAAGCTGGTCAAGAATTGAAGCCTACTGGATCGCGATAAATTTGATAAAAGAAATGAAGGAAATAGAAATCCTTACAAGCACCTTTGCAGACCACAGTCCAATTTTACTGCAATTACAGACATGTTGCAAAGTTCAACAATTGAGATTAAATACATTTTTAAACAATGAAGATTTTTCAAAAGCAAATCAAAGAAGAAATGGAAAATTTATTCAAAATAAATATGGTACCAGAAACACCTATAACCACCGTATGGGAGGCTGGAAAATGTTTCTTCAGAGGATTAGCAATAATATTTGCCACAAGATTAAAAAGAGAAAAGAAACAAAAATATAGAGAATTGGAGGAAAAATTGAAACTAACTGAACACCAATTTAAACAAAACTCATCGACAACACATCTGAAAATGAAGATTAAGCTAGTACAACATCAATTAAATACTTTTTTGACTGAAGAAATAGCAAACAAGATTAAATATGCAAAACAAAACTTTTTTTGAAAATTCAAATAAATCTGGAATGTGGCCAGCATATAAATTAAGGAAAGAAAGTATAGTAAAACAAAAATTCAAGCTTTGAAAAAGAAAAAGGTGAGCTAACTATAAAACAGGAAGAACTAAAAAGAATAACAGAACAATTCTATCAAAATCTGTATTCAGAAAAAGAGACAATAAAGGAAAAACTAAGACAATATTTGGGAAAACACATTAAGATGAAAATTTCTGAACAACAGAAAAAGATATTGAATGGTAGAAGACATGAAGAAACAAAATAATGGGAAATCACCAGGCTCAGATGGAATACCAGTGGAATATTATAAAACTTTTGATTTTTAGTGAACCCATATTAAAAAAACTAATGGAGTACATTGAACAGAAAAGAGAAATTCCACCTACATGGAAAGAAGCTATAGTATCAATAATTCATAAAGAAGGAACTGAACCAGAAGAAACTACAGACCAAACTCACTACTGAATGAGGACTATAAGAGATATGCCTCAATAATAGCAGACAGACTGAAAAAAATACTTGTACATATAATTCATGAAGATCAGTCAGGCTTTCTGCCAAAGAGACAGATGAGAAATAATATTAGGACAATATTAAATTATTAGAATATTATGAGACACAACTTAGAAGAGAGATGGCTATGATTTTTCTTGATGAAGAGGCCTTTGACAACACCAATTGGGATTTCATGTTAAAACAATTAAAAACCATAGAAGCAAGAAAATACTTTGTTGAGGCAATAAGGGCTATCTATAGACAACGAGGCAATAAGGACTATCTATAGACAACAGCCATCAAGAAGAGGTGACAATAATACACAGAGGAATTATACCAGAAAGATTTGGATGTCCCTGAAAAACCAGATAGTGTGGTTGCTGACCTTGATCCAGACATCCTGGAGAGTGAAGTCAAGTAGGCCTTAGAAAGTTTGTCTAACAACAAAGCCAGTGGAGGTGATGGTATTCCAGTGGAACTATTTAAAAACTTAAAAGATGACGCTGTTAAGCTGCTACACTCAATATGCCAGCAAGTTTGGAAAACTCAACAATGGCCAGAGGACTGGAAAAGATCAGTCTACATCCCAATCCTAAAGAAAGACAGTGCAAACAATGCTCCAACTACCGTATGATTGTACTCATTTCAAACGCTAGCAAGGTTATGCTCAAAATCATACAAGTAGGCTTCAGTAGTATGTGGACCGAGAACTCCCAGCAGTACAAGCTGGATTCCGAAGGGGCAAAGGAACTAGAGACCAAATTGCTAACATGCGCTGGATTATGGAGAAAGCCAGAGAGTTCCAGAAAAACATCTACTTCTGCTTCATTGACTATGCAAAAGCCTTTGTGTGGACCACAGCAAACTATGGCAAGTCCTTAAAGAAATGAGAGTGCCTGACCACCTTATCTGTCTCCTGAGAAACCTATACGTGGGACAGGAGGCAATAGTTAGAACTGGACATGGAACAACCCATTGGTTCAAAATTGGGAAAGGAGTACGACAAGGCTGTACATTGTCCCCCTGCTTATCCAACTTACATGCAGAATACAGTGGGGTCTTGACTTAAGAACGGCTTGAGTTAAGAACATTTTGACTTAAGAACCACTCTCA